TCATCGCCCTGCTTCATGCACCTGGGAGCCTTCGCCAGGGCGGTAGGTAAGAGGAGGAAGAGGCACGCACGAGAGGAGGGGATGCCGCTGTCCCGTTTACAGACCACACGACTGTCTGCGTCAGAAACTCCAGGGAATCTACATAAACTCCTGGGGCTGATAGGGGGGCTTAGCACGGTGGTGGGTACAAGGTCAACCACAAAGACCAATGGCATCTACTTACCACCAATGAACAATTGAAAACTGAATTTTTGTTTGTTTGTTTATTTTGTTTTTTGCGGTACGCGGGCCTCTCACTGTTGTGGCCTCTCCCTTTGTGGAGCACAGGCTCCGGACGCGCAGGCTCAGCGGCCATGGCTCACGGGCCCAGCCGCTCCGCGGCACGTGGGATCTTCCCGGACCGGGGCACGAACCCGTGTCCCCTGCATCGGCAGGCGGACTCCCAACCACTGCGCCACCAGGGATGCCCGAAAACTGAATTTTTAAAAGTACCATTTACAATAGCTCCCCACAAAAATGAAATACGTAGGTATAAATCTAACAAAACATGTACTGGATCATTGTTCTGAACACTAGAAAAATGCTGACGAAAAAAATTTTAGGACCTAAACACTAACTAGAGAGAAGAGAAATTGTGTTCAGGGATTGGAAGACTCAAAATTGTACAGATATCAATTCTCCACAAAGTGATTATATAACACCAATAAAAGTTTCAGGAGAATTTTTTTGTACATAAAGAGGGGCTGACTATAAAATTTACATGGAAGGGCATAGGAACTAGAATAGCTAAAACAATTTTGAAAAAGAAAATTGAAGTTGGAGGACTCGTACTGCACGATATTAAGGTTTACTATGTGGGGACTTCCCTGGCGGTGCAGTGGTTAGGAATCTGCCTGCCAATGCAGGAGACACGGGTTTGAGCCCTGGTCTGGGAAGATCCCACATGCCACAGAGCAACTAAGGCCGTGCACCACAACTACTGAGCCTGCGCTCTAAAGCCCCTGCTCGGCAACAAGAGAAGCCGCCACAAAGAGAAGCCCGCGCACCTCAATGAAGAGTGGGCCCCGCTCAGCACAACTAGAGAAAGCCCGCGCACAGCAGCGAAGACCCAACACAGCCAAAAATAAATAAGTAAATAAATAAATTTATTTTAAAAAACCCACATCTTTAAAAAAAAAAAAAAGACTTACTATGTGGCTGCATAATCAAGACAGAATTCCAATAGAATGTCCAGAAATGGGCCCTCACAAATATGGTCAATCATACAGAGGTGCAGAGGGGTCCACAGAGAAAGGATGGTCCTTTCTTTTTTAAAAAATTAATTAGTTGATTATTTTTTTGACTGCATTGGGTCTTCATTGCTGCATACAGGCTTTTCTCTAGTTGCAGCGAGCAGGGGCTACTCTTCGTTGCAGTGCACGGGCTTCTCATTGCAGTGGCTTCTCTTGCTGTGGAGCACGGGCTCTAGGCGCATGGGCTTCAGTAGCTGTGGCACGTGGGCTCAGTAGTTGTGGCTCGCAGACTTAGTTGCTCCGCGGCATGTGGGATCCTCCCGGACCAGGGCTCGAACCCGTGTCCCCTGCATTGGCAGGCAGATTCTTAACCACTGGGCCACCAGGGAAGCCCCCATTCTTTTTTTATTTTTTATTTTTATTGAAGTATATTTGATTTACCATGTTGTGTTAATTTCTCCTGCACAGCAAAGTGACTCAGTTATTTATACACACACACACACACACACACACACATATTCTCTTTCATATTCTTTTCCATTATGGTTTATCACAGGATATTGAATATAGTTCCCTGTGTTATGCAGTGAGACCTTGTTGTTTATCCATCTTGTATATAATAGTTTGCATCTGCTAACCCCAAACTCCCATTCTTTCCCTTCCCTACTCCCCCTCCCCCTTGGCAACCGCAAGTCTGTTCTCTATGTCTGTGAGTCAGTTTCTGTTTCATAGATAGGTTGGTTTGTATCATATTTTAGATTCCACATGTAAGTGATACCATACGGTATTTGTCTTTCTCTTTCTGACTAACTTCGCTCAGTATGATAATCTCTAGGTCCATCCATGTTGCTGCCAAGGGCATTATTTCCTTCTTTTTTGATGGCTGAGTCATATTCCGTTGTATATATGTACCACATCTTCTTTAGAAGGGATGGTCTTTTCAACACCCAGTGCCGGTGCCTCGGCTGCGTCCACATGCAGAGGAGGTGGACTTGACTAAGCCACACATCTTACAAAGAATAATTCAAAATGTTTCATAGATCAAGTTACATCATGAAACTAAGAGACTTGGGGAGAAAGAATTCTTCATGACCAGGGGTTAGGCAAAAAGTTCTTAGTAACAACACAAAAAGACCATCCACAAAAAAACACACGGATAAATTTGGCTTCATCAAGAATTTTAAAATTTGTTCTGTGAAATACACTGTTCAGATAAGATACGGACTGAGAGAAAATATTTGCAAACCTCATACAGGAGAAGGGGCTGCACCTAGAATACATAAAGAATTCTCCAAACTCAGCAAGAAGTCAAACGATCCAACCAAAAGATGTGCCACTTGACCAGAGAGGATACACGTGTGCAAAAAGCGCGTGGGGAGGCTCTCGGCATCCTCAGCCCTTGGTGCAAACTGAAGCCACAGTGAGGCTGGACCGGCATCGGCCAGATCGGCTCAAACAGAAAGTCGTGACGCGGACACTGGAAGGACGCAGAGACCGGCTCTCTCACGCTAGAGGACATCTGCGCAGTTTTGCATCGAGTTAAACCCAGCAGTCTGTCTCCGGGGTGGGAGCGGAAGCACAGGTCCGGCGAAGCCTCGTGCATGAATGTCCACGGCAGCTTTTCACAGTCGGAGAGCGGGAACCCCGATGCCTCCAGCACCGGGGGTTCAGCAAACGGTTCATCAGAGCAGCCGGTCTCCACGTGGGCATGGGGGAGATGCTGGGCCTCAGGCCTCAAGCTGAGGGGGAGAAGCCAGGCTCAATTCATCTCTGAGACCCCCTCCCAAGGACAAAACCTCAGCGAGGAGAGCCAGTAGGATGGGGGGGCCGGGGCCGGGCTGGGCGGTTCTGGTTGCGGTGGCCGGGGTCACACAAATAGAACCGTGTGCACAAAAAGGGGCAATTTCACCGCACGCCTGCAAACCACCAAACCACTCGACTGGGGCTGACTCTCGCCCTCCTCGTGGGACCACAGCTGGCCCTGACTCCGGGCCTTTGCTCTGGCCGAGCCCTCGGCCTTGGGCCCTTTCCAGTCACCTGACTCCGCTGACCTGCCCTTCGCCTGAGCACTGGCACCGTCCTCCCGCTGGGGAAGGGCGGGGTCGGAGGGCAAAGTCTGAGCAGCCTCAGAGGGTGGTCCCCTGGGCGGGGCTGGTGACCCCATGTGGGGGCAGGCAGCAGGGGCTCATCACCTGCCTGACAGCGGACCCGGGCTCAGGGGAGCGGTGACCAGCGTCGGGTGGCGGGCAGCGGGACGGCACCTGGCAGGTGCCTGAGAGGCGACAGACGGGCCAGCTTCCACGCTGCTGCCACTGCTTACCCACCAGCCCAGGTGAGGGGCCGTCTTGGTCTGGGGGTGCTGACCGGTCCTGAGGGCGTGCTCTGTGTGGAGTCTACCCAGCCTCTCTGCCCACCCACTGGGGGCTCAGGCTGGGGGCTCAGGGTGCTACACGCCCTGGAGGGGGGTGTGAGGGGGGGTACCGGTGTCCCTGGCCCTGCCTGTAACTTGTCTGTCTCTGTGAGGTGGCCTGTGGCCAGCGTGCTTTTGGGAACACAGGCTGGGTCCCGTCCGGCCTGGCCTGATGGCAGCTCGAGCAGGTCACCCGTCCTCTCTGAGCCTTACTCTTCCCTCCTTAAAATGGGATCATGATGCAGACGGGCCGCCTGGAGCCCAGGGCCCTGCATTTGCCCTGAAAGGCGGACGCGCCCTGGGAACAGCCGCATTCC